ACCACGAGGCAATAACTGATGCCCCCAAATTGGTAAATACTAGAAACATACATTTGTAGCTTTATCCTTAGATTTCAAGAGAACAGAACAGGATATTACGATTGTGTCTTAAATCCAGATAAAATGTTATACTCTTAATATATAAAGCATTTAAATAAAATAAAATAACATCATATAATTCAAAGTTCATAAAATGGAAGGAAAGATCTATGAGTGCAGGGCGTAAGGAATGAGCACCAGGTGGCCACTCCAAACCCTTCTTCGTCTTATTGAAATGTCCTGTCTCACTATCCCTCTACCGCGTCTTCTTTAACTACTTAAACTTTGTAACCAATCACTATCAAAGTTCCTCAAGAGCTTGGCCTTTGAACACTTAAGCATACGAAAGTACACTTCATATACCGAGCTAAGGGATTCAAAATCTATTCCAATACTAAATTTATAAAAATGCCATAATTCGAGGCGTTTAAGTAAGTAGGTTACTAGTCCAGAACATCGTATGCTATTCTAAAGTGACTGCGAAGATGTTATTAATATTATCGCCAACTATTCTGAGGTTATGGCAATAGTGGCGAGTATCACTGGGAAAACATCTAAATTTACGAAGACAGAAATCTTCATGCTCACAGCCGCGAAAACCTCAAATCTCACATCTACATTGACAACGACGAACATGTATTGTGTTAGCCCATATAGCCCAACAAAGTTAATTGACCGCCATCTTCAACACCCCAGCCATAACAGAGGTAAAATATCACAAAATGTACCACAAGCTGTCTTATGCTACACAAAATAAGTAGCCAACGCCTGGTTGAAGTTCCGACCTTGTTTACGCGACGGGCACATCAACTTTGCATTTTAGTACCACCTATAATAACTGGCTCCAGAGGAAAATCTCACGAGTGTTACGGACAGGAAATTCGACATTTAAAGTCCCAAAATTCTAGTTGCCACCCAGAAACCAACCGAGGTGCCCGCGGTACAGATCTACGCGGGCTCTGGAGTACGAACACTGTTCTGGGTCTGTACAATTCAGATCTACGCGGGCTCGGGAGTATGAACACTGTTCTGGGTCTGTACAATTCATAGCAATCAAAGGTTAAATAGAATATTTCGGATTTTCTCTATACATCTTTTTTTTTATTTTCAAAAAAATATATATATTCGTATTTGCGCTCATCTTACGCTCGTTGAGTCTCTGGAAAACAAATCCCACCGACTTGGCCTTCTCGAAGATTTTCGTGGTTGCCCCCCTCCCGGAAATAATTCGAGATAACATCTCACTAACTTTGCATCCGGTAACATTGTACCTTTCCCCCCCGAAACACCAAAATAACACGAAATGATTTAGAACGTCGACAAATAATCCATTCGACGTCGGTTGACATCAATGCATTAAAATAACCATGTATTAGCCACATGACAGTCAGGGCAGATTGTAATCCGGGTAAAACGCGTATGTTTCGCCCCGTGAATCCCCCCTAGTTATCGATTCCTGCACCTCAAAAACGCTGCTATTCACAGAACTGTGTGTTACTCATCCCTGAACATTCCGAAGACGGAACTAGCTCACAGCAGACGAAAAACTGATGATACAGGAATGTGGGGGAGAAAACAAGAAAAACGAATAGAATAACCCAAATCTATGTTCGTCACAGGACAAATTTAAATCTGGCACGTTTTAAATGTGTTAAAACCGCTGTTATGCCAAGTATCAGGCCATGCGCCATTATTTTCATTTCTCTGCTGTAACCACGAATTGCGGACAGGCAAGTGGAACTTTACTATAGCGAGAAATTAAACTCGTCTTGTGGCTGATTTCTGTGTCAGCTGACATGACGACTGTGCGAACCCTTCGGTTCAGGCTACACAAAACATTTCAGGTGCTTCATCCCTAGCTCAGAAGTGAGCCATGACTTTGTCTTTGCAGTGGTGATGTCAAACTTGTGTTTCCCTTACAGTCCTATTTCCTGGCAACGTATCTTAAAATTCATAAGTTTAACAACAAATACGACGTACGTATTATCGTACCAAGACGCACACGAGAGCTGTTCAATGAAGACTGAAAATTTTATTTTTTGTCCAAGTCTTGGGGAACTTTCATTTGGGGTGATTGGTAGCACTGATAGATGTGAATCAGCGCCTGAAGTTTCAGGTCGCTGCGTGTTCAGTTGTGCTCGTGCCGTGACCTTGACTACAAGCTACGCGTGTCTCGTCTCCGCGCTTACATTTTCTCACCGCTTTAATAAGTGAAACATACAATTTGTCAAAAGTGGCTTGTGGGCTAAGATGAGGTTCAAAGATGGTCGGGAATCCTTCGAAAAGCGGCAAGGTCGACGAAGTACCATCGCAGAGTTGTCTGATATGCTCAAAATATCTGTAGGGAGTGTACAAACTGTCACAAAGGATAATTGGATCATGTCTCGTATCTGTGCTAGAAGGATTCGTCGTCGACTATCTGGCAACAAGCAAAATACCCTAACTTAAAAACTAAGGACACGCAAACTCATGTTTCCACGAACTTGTAACAACAGAACATCCAAGCGCTTGGTTGAAATCTCCAAAGTCCCAAACCGGAATATACAACGAAGCCAAATCGCCTCTCTCTCCTCGCAGGCAAGTCGCTAGGGAAGACAACTAATGTCAACGTGCAGATCCAAGTTTCTAATTTCGACCTCCTACGTGTGCAATTTTTAAATTATGTTGTATTCGTACAAATACTCGATAAAATCGTGACCTTTTGTATTATTCAGATGCATCTTTAAAAAAACTCCCGTGCGTATTCAGCTCACACCAAGCGAAAAGAAATGTAAGAATGTAACTGTTTTCTAGCAGCTGTTTTTAAGGGGTAAGTCAGTCACACACTACCATGGTGCTACTCGTTCTGCATTGACAGGGCGAAAATTGAGATGAAGACGGGACTTCCCGAGATTTCCGTTTATTCGCGTATCAGTTAAAGGCTCCGTGTTCTAATCTAACTGCAAAAAGACATACTTCAGACGCAAATTCATTACGTAATAAATACAAATTACTAACATGAAATATGACTTCTTTTGAAGATCTGGTGTCTTTAATTAGATGTGCAGAATCACTGAGCTTCAACGACGGACTCACTCGTCCCGACATCTAAACCAGTGGTATCCAACCTGGGGTACGTGTACCCCCGGGGGTACGCGAAATTTAAAAAAAAATATATATATTATTGTATGATAAACAATGAATAATCAGTAATGTAATTTATTTAATTTATTTTAGATGTAGATTATATACTATGTATAACTTGAATTATACACCAACAACTTTGGGGGTACAAAGTTGAAGAGAAATTTCATCTGGGGGTACGCGAACAAAATATTGTGAAACCATATGGTCTAAAGAGATCGAACATAACGGTTAAAAATTGCACCTTTCTTAAAATAACTTCGCGTTTTAATTGTTATTTCAGGCTTGTAATTTCGATGAACATCAAAATAGTTGATTTATATAACGGGAACTCGGAGAGGGGATGGAAAGATTTAAAAATGAAAATCCACGACCTCCAAAGTCATTACAACGTCGCCCGACTAGAAATCAAACACCAATCGTCCGCCTGATCTATCGATTACAACGTTAAGTGCACCTACTTTTTATAAGACTTATAAACCAGAACTTAAAGAAAGTGGAAAAAAAATAATATCCTGTCGTACAAAGAAACAGGAGAGAGTCGACATCTGGGGTTCACTGCCAAACTGCAAAACCTGAGCCACATGGGAGGAGTCAGTCGGGGTCATCCTCCAAGGAGCACGTAACTTGCCGCTGCATTTCAAACGTAAAAGAGAGGATCTCCCGGAACCAACCGTGCGGATGTGCATCTGGAATAATAACATGGAACCCACAACGGGTGTCCCAAAAACATGTATACACAACGCTGACGAATATAATTGATGTGGCTAATACACATTTTTGAGACAAATGTATATGCAGCAGAACCTGCTAATGTGACCACCCTCTACACTTTTAATTAGGAAAATACATTTATTCTAATTAGCTACCTTCATAATTCGGTTATTGAGCATCTGGCACTGCATAACGCAATTTCTTAATAAATTATTATTTAAAAAATTCTAGAAGTACAATTTCTGTCTATGACCACTACCTTCCAATCCCTTACAATGGTCTGTATAGATAGGTTCTACTGTATATTACAAAATTCACTATTATTATTATTCAGTGTTCTGTCTACGAAATGGCTCTCCGTGACTCTACAGCCGAAATAAATCTTTCAGTATCAAAACTCTGATATACTGATCACTTGAGTGACATGAACAAGACAGGAGAAAACAAGAAACAATGGACATGTCACCTCTCTGAGCTCTGGTCGCTGACTGAGTCGCCCGCAATGTGAACACGTGATTGCCATCTATGTATCTCGTGGTCGTTGGTCTCCTGTGCGTCGCTCACTGCTTGTTGGTCGACGGCGGCCATTGGTCGTGGTCGCCCTCGTGTGTAATCTCGTACTTTTCTACCTAGTGGTCGTCCAGCGACTGGTCGACAGTGTGAAAGGGCCCTTAAATGCTGGTAAGGAAAGTAACCACTGAGATTCTGCAGGACCTGAGGTCTTAACGGCGACGAGTATGAAGATGATCGCCTTCTGGGGTCGGAGCGCCGTATCGCATGGCAGCAGACAGCCACCTTCACTGTGATTCTGTAATGTACTCAGGTAATCTGAAAGACACGTTCAGCCGCCTCCAGATGTCGGCCAACCTGTCGACTAAACGAATGGTGAAACGAAGAGTGTATAGATACGCTAGAATCCTTCGACATCGAAGACAAAGACGGTGATGCTAGGTCCGACTCATTACTACCCCTCGAAGTACGGGGGAGGACCAGCTCTCTCTTCCATGAAACAGATGGGCAGTGGCCGACGACCTTGAGGCTGTTTCAGTCATATAACTACCAGCCGGGAGGGGCAGTTATTCTGGTGGTGAATGAGGCGATACATTCATATGCAAGTAAACCAAAATTAACTAGCCCTACAGAGGTCTTACAATTCACTACACAACATTAAATACAAACTGCATGGCTACTCGATCACCGTACAATTTTTGTAAATATCCAAATAAACTTCTATTTATCCCACTCCTGATTATCTACGATGAAATCACTGATTTGGTTATCTGATCGTGGCTTGAGATTCGATTCACAGTTATCACGTACTTCAAAGAATATTGATGATAATGAAGGCGACTGGGCCATGCTCAGTAACAGTTTTAACTTTCTAAGTTATTTTTATTAAATCCCAACTCGTATAAATCTCGTATCGTTCCCCTAATTCTTGCTATTTCGAATTCTGCTTTCCCCCGAACTCCTAACCTCGCCAAATAATCACGAAAAATACATCGACAAAACGAATAATAATTCTGACAGTCACTTTTTTTCCTTGTTAAAAAGTTACTTGACACATGAACCTCGAAATGTCATTAACATTAATTAACGTTCTTCTCCAAACCAGGCAGACATATTGGCGTCTTTGCTTAACACGTATGTGACGTAAGCAAATACAGTTAATGTATATAATGCTAATGTAGACAGCAGACACACAGGGCAAATGCAGAGATTTCGAATGACTGGAAATTAGAACGTCACCTCCAAGCACATGCAATTTCCGGCTTGGGATTTAAACATTTCAAAAGACTGATTTTTTTATTCAAAGCGTGCACGTGTAATATAGACACTTACGCCTGAAATTCTGTACATCTGGGTAATCAGTTCGATATAAAAGTCACGTGTGTATATTTAAGTGTTATTAATAAAATACGGATAAAATAGTGACATTGCATGCACTAATTCATGCTCGGAAGGTCTTGAGTTCAAATTTCGGACCGCAGACAGGCTACCCTGAGGTTTACCGTGGTGATTCTCCTGAGTTCCCCCAGACAAATACACGGGACGTACCTTAAAACAGGCCACGAGCGCTTCCTTCCATATCCTTAACATTTCACTACCCATTAGCCATCCTATGATACGAGGACATGTGCCTATAGTCTGAACTGACGACGTCGTCCTTAAACTATAAACACAAAAGACGACGAAAGTAAGAATTTCTTACATCCGTAATACGGCATTTGCCAAAGCCAATTTTCGTTTGCTTTTCATGAGGAACAAACAGCAGGCATCATAGAAATTTTATTTATTATTCATTTAGTGTTCTGTCTGACGACAGGTCCATATGAACAGGATCCTTCCATCCTTTTCTCGGACTGGGACCTGTTCATATACGTTCTTGGCAGATGATCCAGAAGGTGTTTGCCATTTCCTTCTTCTGTGTG